CCTATTTACATCGGGCTATAAAAAGCAAGCACTCGCATTGTTCGAGGCCCTCTTGTATGCTGTGGAATGGAGGGACCAAGTTCGAACTTGCAGTAAAAGATCCTTGCCGCTTGGCTTTGACTCTGGACTCTGGTGGTCTTCTTTGGGGAACAAACGGTCTGGGTATAACAGGTGACTGCACTTTCTGGCCTGGTGTCCAATGTCTGGAGTGCCAACATCTTGTATATTTTATTTGTTCAGTTGTTTCAGCCAAGAAGGTAAATCCATCCCCTGATGCTCTACCCTAACCAAAAGCAGAAGTCCTGTGAATTCCTGAACTTTAACAAAATTGCCTTTCTTCAGTGGTGAAAGAGTAAGACCTTGCTACCAGAAGTTAGAATGTCATCACTTTCCTCTAAATGTTGTTCTTTTCCTATAAACCTCAAAACATTTAACAGCCTGTGATAATTACGAATATTTCTGTACACTGTTAAACTCACTGACATAAAAACAGGTATTTTTAAAAGTTCAGCCTACCCTTTCATAGGGGCATTTTTCCTTACTATAGCTCTTCTATAATTTACTATTTTTTAAAGAACTAGCCTTATGAAATGGGCAGCTAGCCTCTCACAACCTTTTATAACTGTCTCTCGAGGTTAGCCTCAGCAGGCCCTGAATTGAATTAGTATATTACTTCAATTAAGGCCATCCCGAAGTGAAACTAAATATCAGGTCATCATGATTTTCTCAAGTCATAATGTTCACTACCTTGGATTATATAATGTGCACCAGACAATTCAGCAGGCAGTGTTTTGAGATTTTGACCTACATTGTTGATCTACCCACGGTCAATAAAGACTGTGTTACTTAGAAAGAAGCAGATGGGAAAATTAGCAAGAAATAGAGAAAAGAGTCACAGGATGCCAGCAAAATCCACACTGCTGTCCAGAGACCACCTCCAGTGAATAAAAACTCAGGAGAGAGCTCTTAACAGGTTCTACCGTTAAGACTTCCACATCCTGAGTAGGAGTGGGAGTCCTCTTTTGGAAACTGAGATGTAAAAGACTCCTCTCTGTTTTCAGGTATTTCCCGAAAAGCCTTTCTTTTCTTTGGTATTCCTTAATTACTTTGCATTTCCCCTTTGACTATTAGGTTACTGGCACCACTGGGTCCAGTCAAGAGAAACAGTTCCATCCTCTTGTGAGCAGAATCTGATATTTATAATGAGTATCTCTCTAAGGCCCTGTTCTCCAAGTAACAACCATAGCTTTTCTCTGTGTTTTGCTTTTCTCTAGCCCAGGAAGATCACATGTTTTTCATAGTAGGCACTGTGCTACTAGTGTGTTTCACACCTGTATTCTCAAAGGCTGAGAGGAAAACAAATATCTGACAAATGCTTCTCTTTATCAACCTTGTCATCTCAGATTTTGAAATGCTTAAGCATTAGCTTTGCTTCTAGAATGGGGGCCCAAATACCCCTTGCACCAGCCTCTTTGACCAAAGCAGTGGATTGTGACCCTATTTAAGTCACATACGAGGCCCTCCTTCCACACTGGCTGACAAACCAGGCAATGGAAACCAAGCCTGGAGAATGAGCTCTTGTGGGTGACCCCACCAAGGCTGCACTCTGAAACCAGGCCCACCTTGAGGTGCAACTGCCTTAGTTCCAGACAGGCCTGCCTTTTTCCTAGTGCTGGATCTCCTGACGGGGTGGGCACAGTACCTCCTGTCATTTCTCCAGAGCCAGGTCTGCACTGCTACCTGCTGCTATCAATCAGGCAATGAGCAGCAGAGGCTCCCAAGTCCACCTCTACCCCAGGAAGAAAACCTGTCCCGCATATGAGGAATCTATTCCTGTGGCTGAGGGGCAGATCCATCTAGCTCTCTTAACAGAACTTTCTCTCTCCCATCATATGTAAGCTCTAGGACACAAAACTCAAGGTTTCCCTTTTGTAGTTAAGAAAGAAATTGAGCTAGTCCTACTCTCTTTCCTATTTATACAAAGCCATTTTTTTTTTTTTTTAATATCTGTGGCCTTGTCTTTTTCTTCATGTAAACATATTGTCTTCATGAATATTCTTATCTTCAGTATTTTACCTCTAGAAGTGTTACTGGAATGGGAGACAGGGAAGAACGATAGACATCCCAACACTTTTTACTTTTGAAAAATGGCATAAAATAGATCTATCAATCCCAGAAAGGGACAACAGGCAGGGTCTAGTAAAGGTTCTCCAGGCCACGCACTGACATTCTGTCGCTCACACACAGAACTAGATTTTGTTTTCCTATGTGTGTTAAGCTAGTCAAGGGTCCGTGTTGGCAAGACTGATGGCCACTGAGGCCCAGTCACCGTGGGAGCATAACTCTGACACTGCCGGTCATGTTTTCTTTATTCCCATGCTTATTCCTTGCGATCAGCTGAACTAGGCACGGGCTTAGTCATGATGTTAGCTACGAGCTAAAAAGAAAGGTGCATGAGAGAGAGATGTAACTATATAGAAATAGAGAACCACATGAGGCTGGAGTGTTGTTTATGGCCTAAGCCTGGAGGGTCAAGTAAACTACATACTCTTCAGCGAACAGGAGACTTCCACTTTGTGAACAAAGTGATCAACCTTTCTGAAGGACATCAGCTACTTTGGTTGTAGAAAGGAGACGGTGATGCCTACCTTACAGAGCTGTGTGAAGATCATAAGAAATAATGACTGGTAAATGTTTTAGTACAGTGCTGCGCACATAGGAAAACCTTGGCAGGTACTAACAATTATTTTATTATTACATACACCATCTGCATCTAGGCCTGCAGCTGCCCTTAATAATAGAAAGCCACAGTGAAACTTAGTTTTTGATATATTTAGCCAGCTATATCTTGCTCTGGCAGAAATGAACTCCTCACCCTTTAGTGCCCAGTTGCCGCTGGCAATCAGAACAGATGGGTGGGCTTCTCTTACTTTCCACTTCACTACTGAACAGTTTAAACTTTTCTTGATGTCTTCAGGTCAAATTTATAGATAAATCTATAGATATCTAGATAATATATATGACCCATATGTCATTTTAATATATATGATCTAGATACCGATATATATCATTTTGTATAAAGATATTACCATATGGAACTGTTCTTAAGGACGGTTGAGTAATGACTCCTAACCAACACTAGTATCTATTCAGCGTCCACTTTAAGCTTAATGCTGTATTAGGTATTATTGTCCCCATCTAACAAATAAGTGCCAACAGCCCACACTTTACCCTCAGGACTCGTTTCAGTTCTGCTTCCTCTTCCCTTATTATCAGCTGTCAAACTCATCAAAACTGCCATGGGCCTTCCTCTGGTTCTCAACCTAGGACACACATTAGAATCATTTGGAGATCTTAAAAAAATAGCAATGCCCAGACCCACCCACTTCTAGTTAATTATGATACACAGCATGGGAGGCCTGACAAAAACAAACAAACAAAAAACAAAACACCACTGCTAGACCCAACTATTAACAACTGTGGACTAATAATGACAATTTACGTAATAGGCCCTGAGGGAATGCCTGAGGACCTCTCCTTTAAAGCACATTGTATCAATTATTTTGCCCAGTGTTCCCTCTCTCTTCTTCCTCCCTCCCTCCCTGCTCCCTTCTTCTGTTTTTAATCGTTCACTCCGGCTTGTCTTTCTCCCTTCCTCCCCTGCCTCCCTTCTTTCTCCTATTTAATTGTTCACTTCTGGCTTCACAAGGCTGAGACTATAGGAAGACTATTAAATGAACAGTTTGTAGCTCTGACAATTGGTTTACTGTACTGGACATTCTGGTTGTATCACCAACACCTTCTCCCTCTCCTCTTGGCAGGTATCTTGACTTTCAGATGCATATCCTCTGCCTCCAATCCAGCCCCATTTCTAAGCCTGGGGCACATCGATTAGGCCTAAGGTAATCTCCAGACCCTGCTGCAGTTACTGGTTCACAGAGAGAAAAGTAGCCCCAAAGAGTTAAATGCGACCTAAGGAGAAAAGTTGTTCTCTTCTGAGTGCATTTCTGGAAGCAGCCCCAGCCCCACCCCTAGGCTTAATAGCTCTGGGAGTTGCTGGAAGCCATCTTGTGGCCACATGGGGTAGGTAGTCTGCTGTAGAATGAAGCTGGTTCAGAGAAAGCAGGAATGAGAGATGCAAAGAATCAGTCTTTCATGACATCTCCGAGTCACTGAATTAGACCAATCCTGAAACCTACTACGCTTCTGGCAGTGAAGTGAGCCAATGAATTCCCTTTAATGTCTAAGCTGGTTTGAGATGGGTTTTCTGATACTTGTAACCAGATGCATCCTGAAAGATCCACTGCACATTTTAGGAGGAAGGGAATACCTGTTTTTTAAAATTGAATTACACTTGGAAAAGCTACCAGAGTGTTATAAACAACATATTCAAGTTTTAAATACTTTTTGCTGTGCAGCTATTACCATACTAAGAACTACTATTTGGCTTCAGGTTGTTTTTTTAAGAAATGCGGCAAGCTGTGTCAGTTTATTCTGTAATTATAGGGGGAGGCTTCAGTATGCTGTAATTGCTATCCTATAGAAGGCAATTAGTATGGGGTTAATACCAGATGAACAAGAAAGATAACATCAGGCAAATAAAACACACAGTAAAACAATAATAGCACAATGGGTTTTATTGATGGCAGAAGAAAAATTCTTCCTTTCACTTGTAAAAGGTATTTGCTTTATTTAACTCAGTATTTTTTCCCATTCTTTGTGTGAGTTGAATGTTTTTTCCACCCTAAAATCTGCTTTTTCTTTCTTCAAATAATAATATCCACCACAGCTGCTACTTATTCTGAAGAGAAAGTGGAAGGTCAACACGTTTCCACCAGGATGTTTTAATCACCAGCTTGTTTCTTCACAAAGAGTTTCCTTTAAAAAGAAAGGAAGAAAATGAAATTGAAGCCTTAAATTAACTTTTCCATACTTTGTCAAGATACATTTCTTCTGAAACTTATCTGTAAATGTGAAGTGTTTGTATAAGTGTAAATAGATTTTGACTAGAATAAATTTTGGATATTGCTAATTTGTAACCATAATCTTTATAAAGCAATATGAAAGAAAAAAGTGAAATTTTTTTGAAAATAAATTTTTCTTTTAGAATTTGTTAAAGTACATTTCTGCCACTGTTATACCATTTATTGCTGGTATGTTGATTTCAGGAATTTGGATTAATTGAACTGTTTGTAACAGAGGATTCCCGAAAACTGATGCAGTCTGCCAATGAGCCACGTCTTTCCCTATCCTAACCACCTCCAGTTCTTCTGTGAACACCTCTGAATTGAGTTGCTCCACACAGGTGATTTAGTTTGGTCTGTCACCTCCCCCTGCCTGCTCCCCACATTTATTAGGCACCACTCTAGTTAAAACCACTTTGGGTGGTGACAAGAGAAAGAGCTGAGATAAATGGCAGAGAAGATTTGTTTGCTCCGGGCCTATGTTAGCCTCATGCGTGACAGCGTGGTTGGACAGGGACTAGTGGAGTTCCTGCAGCTGCATACAAACAGCTCATAAGTCTTGGGAAGTAAACAGTCTCCTGCTTAGAAAATAAAGACCGTCGGGTACTATAATCCTCACCTGCTGCCCGTTCTGCTGGCATGATGGAATTCTGTAACAGTTACCTTTATATTGATCATTTTCCTGACATTGATGCTGGACCAGATTGTCAAAAAAAATTTAACATTTAAAAATACATCTTTTAGTAGTTAAAAATGGTGTTAAAAACCAGGACTTTGAAAATAAGCTTACAGTACCTATGTAGTAGTCTATGCTTGGCTATTGGTTTTAAAGTTTCTAACATGTGAAACTGTGAATACCATTCTTTCATCAAACGAAGAAGAAACTAGAAGTTCCAAGTGAGTCAGCGTTTATTTAACTGCTTTACACATTGAGCCTTGACCTCCATGGCAGCAGGAGCTTCCTGCTGATCTGTCTTACAAAGGCTTCCTACACAGGTCTCTGCCATCTCTCTCTTCACAGCAGGTCATGCAACTCTAACCAAGGTTTGAGTGGACCAGTGCAATAGCTTCTTAGGTTCTTTCCCTCCTGTTGCTATAATCCATCCTACATCCAGCTGCAATATTTCCTAAGCTTAATTTTGATCATATCACTCTCTTAATCAAAAGTTCATGACAGCATCAAACACAACAAATTCAAACTCTTATATATCTGAAGCCATGCTGTTTTCATCACCGAAAAATATTTTTAATACCCATTGTTTTGGTTCATATTCTTTATTGTAGCCACTAAGAGCCACTTGCTATGGACTCTGCTTCCCTCATTTAAACTTTCCTCTGCCTATACCGTATCTTCAGAGGACTCCACCCCACCAGGAATGTGAAGCTTAAACTTCATGTTTAAGGGCTGCTCCTACAAATTAGTATCTAGTTCCTAGGACTCCACTCATGTCAGAAACCTCTCCAAACCACAGAGTTTTGGTTGGACTAAAGAACTGTGTATAATTTCTCTATTTTATATCTGCTCATATTTCCAAGCTGTCTGAACAGTTATGACAGTGTCCAGGAACTAGAAGTTTGGAGTTTTGGGCTCTATCTCCCCTAAAGTCTCAGATCTGACTTGTCACCACTTTTTCTCAGACTTGGGTCTATTTTTCCACATGCTCCCTGAGACCGCCTCTCACCTAGCCCTGATTCCTAGGTATCTCCTGCTCTGTTAGTCACTGAAGCTGTCCTTAGTATCAGGCTCAAGGGGAATCCAATTCTCTCACCACAATGAAGTTCGTGTGTGTGGAGGGTTGGGGGGAAGGGGGTCTGTGGGGGCCTTGAAAAAAAGTTTTAGGATAATCAAAGAATGTGCAAATTACATATCTAAAACTTTATCAAAACATACTGATTTAATAAATACTTACTGAACAGTTACCATGTGTCATTCATCACCTAGTACTCAAAACATAAGAAAACTTATCACTATGAAATTATGTTTTTTAAAATTGATAATAGAAAGCACCTTAAGTGTTTTTCACTACCTTGATAATTTCAGATAACAAAACCTTAGAAAATTTCAGCCTATATTAGAATTCATGCTTATATTTGCTGGAAGTAAATGGCTGGCTACAATGTTTATCTTCTTTTTAGTGTTTAAGTTAATAAAAACCAGGAATGAGGAGACAAACATCTTTTGTCTCAAGAATATATTCCATCATGTAACAAGAGCAGAATGTTATTTTTGAACCTCCCATCCAAAGATAGTAGGTCAAAGAGGTATTTCACTCTACTTCATAGTCTTTCATAACATATGCTTGAATTAAAATGCAGAACTAAGTAAAATTTTCTTCAAACAAGATCACGTGTCTTATTTTTTAGGGTGAATTTTGTAGTGAGAGTTTTAAAATGATACCATCATGGCATGGTCCACCAGTTTTTTTTTTAATCAATGTCAGAAATCCAAAATATCTGCATCATATATTTCCTATGTTAACAGTACAATCCAAAGCAAGCATTTAGTCAAGGTGGAAGTTTTAACTCAGGGAACACAGAAAACCACTAAGATTGTGATGTTTAAGTTGATTAGGAACCGTGTGCATTGTTATTTGATATGGATAAGCTATAGTTACCCTACAGTTATAGTTTACAATTTACTTTTAAGCAATATATTCTTTTTCGAAGGAAATTTCCCATGGAACCCTAGTATATAAAATATATGAAAGAAACTAAAGAAGGGTCAAGGGGACTAAGAGTTCCCCTCATCTGGCTGCACCCTCATTCATGTTCACTGCCTCCTTTCTACTTCTACCTCTGCTAGATCCTACCTGCCTTCAACAGCCCTGAAGAAATTGAGTCCATTGTTAAACAATGGCTGCCTTATAGCAATGAGGGCATTGACAATCTTGGGCCACAATTTAAAACCTTGTTTTAAACAACTAAAAAGAAATAAAATACCCTGATTTCCTTTGCTTTGGATAAATACACAGTAGTGGGATTGCTGGATCATATGGTGGTTCTATTTTCAGTTTTTTTAGGAACCACCTTACTGTTCTCCATAGTGGTTGTGCTAATTTACATCTCCACCAACAACGTACAAGGGTTCTCCTTTCTCCACATCCTTGCTAGCATTCATTATTGCCTTTCTTTTGGATAAAAGTCATTTTAACTGAGGTAAGGTGATATCTCACTGTATTTGATTTGCATTTCTTTGATGATTAAGGATGGTGAGTATTTTTTCATATACCTGTTGGTCATTTGTATGTCTTCTATTGAGAAATGCCTATTCAAGCTTTTGACCATTTTAAAAATCAGATTTTTTTTTTTTCATGAGTTGTTTGAGCTTATATATTCTGGTTATTAAGCCCTTGTCAGATGGACACTTTGAAAATATCTTCTCCCATTCTGTGGGTTGTCTCTTCACTTTGTTGACTATTTCCTTTGCTGTGCAGGATCTTTTTAACTTGATGTTATTCCATTTGTTCATTTTTGCTTTGGCTGTCTGTGCTTTTGAGGTCTTACTCAAAAAGTTTTTGCCCAGACCAATGTCCTAGAGTGTTTGTCTCCAGTGTTTTCTTCCACTAGTGTCATAGTTTCATGTCTTAGATTTAAGTCTTTAATCCATTTTGATTTTTGCTTATGATGAGAGTAGGGATCTAGTTTATTCTTCCACATACAGATATCCAGTTTTCCCAGGATCATTTATTGGAGAGACTATCATCCCTCCCAATGTATGTTTTTGGCATCTATGTAAAAAATAAGTTGACTGTAAATATAGAGCTTTATTTCTGGGTTCTCCATTCTGTTCCACTGGTCTGTTTGTTTTTATGTCAGTACCGTGCTGTTTTGTTTACTATGGCTTTGTAGTATAATCTGAAGTTAGGTAGTCTGATGCCTCCAGCTTTCTTCTTTTTGCTCAGGATAGCTTTTGCTTTTCTGGGACTTTTGTGGTTCCGTATAGATTTTAGAATTATTTTTTCTATTTATGTGAAGGATGTCCTTGGTATTTTAATAGAGATTTCATTAAATCTGTAGATTGCTTTGGGTAGTACTGTCATTTTAACAATATTGATTCTTCTAATCCATGAACATGGAGTATCTTTTCAGTTTTTTGTGTGTGTCCTCTTCAATTTCTTTTATCAGTGTTTTACAGTTTTCATTGTAGAGATCTTTCACTTCGTTGGTCAAGTTTATTCCTAGATATTTTATTGTATTTGTAGCTATTTTACTTGGGATTACATTCTTGGTTTCCTTTTCAGATTGTTTGCTGTTGAGGCCAGGCATAGTGGGTCTCATGCCTGTAATCCCAGCACTTTGGGAGGCTGAGGCAGGCAGATTGCTTGAGCTCAGGAGTTTGAGACCAACCTGGGCAACATGGCAAAACCCCATCTCCACAAAAAATACAAAAATTAGCTAGGCATGGTGGTGTGCACCTGTAGTCCCAGCTACTAGGGAGGCTGAGATGGTAGGATGTCTTGAGCCCAGAAGGCAGAGGCTGGAGTGAGTTGAAATGGTGCCACTGCACTCCAGCCTAGGTGACAGAGCCAGACCCTGTCTCAAAAAAGAAGAAGAAGAAAAAGGGGGGGAAAAATAATTGTTTGCGGTTGACATACAGAAATAGTAGCATTTTTGTATATTGATTTTGTATCCTGCAACTTTACTGAATTTGTGAGTTTTAATAGTTTTTTTGGTAGAATCTAGGTTTTTCTAAATATAAGATAATATCCTCTGCAAACAAGAATAATTTGACTCTTCCTTTCAAATTTGGATGTTCTTTATTTCTTTCTTTTGTTTAATTGCTCTGGCTAGTACTTCTATTTTATTCAACTATGTTGAATACAAGTGGTAAAAATGGACATCCGTGTCTTGTTCCAGATCTTAGAGGAAAGGCTTGCAGTTTTTCCCGTTCAGTATGATAGACTCATGCTGTGGTTTTGTCATATATGGCAAATTCTCAGTTTTTATTCACCTTTAAAAGTGATTTAATTATAAGCACGCTGAGCTTATTTTATAAGTGTATGTTCTGTCTTTTTTTTTTTTTTTTT